GCGCTGTGCAGTCGGGCGGTAACCAACTCTCTCACTCTCTTTGGGGGACCCAGGGGAGGGAGACGGAGATGGAGTTTGAGGAGGAAATGCAGAGTAAGCTACAAATGGATGGAGAGAAGCCCCGTCCTCGCTGAGACGGAGACAGTGAGAGGGAGTGCAGAGGTTTGGTTCCTACCCGAAGTCGACCCCAGTCAAAGATTAGATTTAAGGAGCCCTGTGTGGCGGTCCCAGAAATCAAATGGGAGATGAGAAATTAGGCGCATTAACGAGCAGGTTCCCCTTGTGGGCAACTGGAATCCCATCCTACTGGGGACTCTGAGAGGGTGCAGACCATTCCTCAGAATTATCCTGCCAAGGGCGAGGGGGCCGGGTATACATCCTCAGGAAGTCAGGCAGAGGCATGGACTGACCCCATGGACTTAAATTAGGAGTTTGACTCATAGTCTAGACCATCCAAAAAATAGTCTACAACCTAAATATGAAATGGATCCTAAATTTGCTCTGTCTTTCGCTCTTAAGCAGCCGGTGTGGCTGAACTGCTTAGATATGTGTAATTGCTATCCCTACCTTAAAACGTTTTTTTAACAAACAATATTATATACATAAACAACAATGAAGCAAAAAATTTAAGTTAAAGTATAGTTGATGTATAATATATAAATTGCAGGTTACGATATAGTGCTTCACAATTTTTAAAGGTTATACTCCATTTATAGCTACTATAAATTATTTGCTATGTTACCCATGTTGTACAATATGACCTGTAGCTTATTTTATACCGAGTAGTTTGTACCTCATAATCGTCTGGCCCTATGTTGCCCCTTCCTCCTTCCCTCTCCCCACTGGTAACCACTAGTTTGTTCTCTATATCTGAGTCTGCTTCCTTTTTGTTACAGTCACTAGTTTTTTTTTTGTATTTTTTAGATTCCGCATATAAGTAATATCATACAGTATGTCTTTATCTGACTTATTTCGCTTAGCATAATGTCCTCCAAGTCAATCTGTGTTGCTGTAAATGGCAAACTTTCATTCTTTTTATGCCTGAGTAGTAATCCATTGTATGTAGACACCACTTCTTCTTTGTCCATTCATCTGTTCATGGACGCAGGTAGCTTCTATATCGTGACAATTGTAAATAATGCTGCTGGGAACATTGGGGCGCATGTATCTTTTCAAACTAGTGTTTTTATTTATCTGTTTATTTATTTTTACATATATACCCAGGAGTTGGCTTGTTGGATCATATGGTAGTTCTAGTTTTACTTTCTTGAAGAACCTCCACGCTGTTTTCCACAGTGGCTGCACCAATTTACATTCCCACCAACAGTGTACAAGGGTTCCCTTTTCTCCACATCTGTGCCAATGTTTGTTATTTGTGTTCTTTTAAAAATATATTATTTATTTATTTTAATTTTTTAATTGAAGTATAGTTGATTTACAATGTTATGTTAGTTTTGGGTGTACAGAAAAGTGATTCATATATTCTTTTTCAGATTCTTTTCCATTATAGTTTATTACAAGACACTGAATATAGTTTCGTGTGCTATACAGTAGGTCCTTGTTGTTTATTTTATATGTAGTAGTATGTCTATGTTAATCCCAAACTTCTAATTTATCCTTCCCCTTGCCTTCCCATTTTGGTAACCATATATCTATGAATCTGTTTCTGTTTTGTACACAAGTTCATTTGTACCATCTTTTTAGATTCCACATATAAGTGATATTATATATTTGTCTTTCTCTGTCTGATTTAATACACTTAGTATAATAATCTCTAGGTCCATCCATGTTGGTGCAAATGGCATTATTTCATTCCTTTTCATGGTTGAATAGTATTCCATATATATATATACACCACAACATCCTTATCCAGTCATCTGTCAATTGATATTTAGGTTGCTTCTGTGTCTTGGCTATTGTAAACAATGTGCTATGAACATTGGGGTGCAGGTATCTTTTCGAGTTAAAGTTTTCTCCAGATATATGCCCAGGAGTGGGATTGCTGTTATTTATGTTCTTTTTTATGATGACCAGTCTGACAGGTATGAAGTGCTATCTCACTGTGGTTCTGATTTGAATTTCCCTGATCATTAGTGATGCTGGGCATCTTTTCATGTGCCTGTTGGCCATCTGCATGTCCTCTTTGGAGAAATTATTTATCAGTTCTTCTGCCCATTTTTTAACTGGGTTGTTTGTTTGTTTTTGATTTTGAGTTGTATGAGCTGTTTATATATTTTGGATATTAACCCCTTATTGGTCAGATCATTTGCAAGTATTTTCTCACATTCAGTAGGTCATCTTTTCATTTTGTCAATAGTTTCCTTTGCTATACAAATTTTTTTAACTTTAATTAGGTCCCATTTGTTTCTTTTTTCTTTTATTTCCTTTGTTTTGGGAGATGAATCCAAAAAATACTGTTACAATTTATGTCAAAGAGTGTTCTGCCTATCTTCCCCTAGGAATTTTATGGTATCTGGTCTTACATTTAGGTCTTTAATCCATTTTGAGTTTACTTTTGGTGTTAGAGAAGGTTCTAATTTCATTCTTTTACATGTCTAGTTTCCAAGCGCCGCTTATTGAGGAGACTGTCCTTTCTTTATTGTGTATTCTTGCCTCCTTTGTCATAGATTAATTGACCATAAGTGTGTGGGTTTATTTCTGGGCTCTCTGTTTTGTTCTGTTCATCTGTGTATCTGTTTTTGTGTCAGTAGCATACTGTTTTGATTACTATAGCTTGAATAGTTTGAAGTCAGGGAGCATGATTCCTCAAGCTCTGTTCTTCTTTCTCAAGATTGCTTTGGCTATTAAGACTCTTTTGTGTTTCCATACAAATTTCAAGGTTATTTGTTCTGGTTCTTTGAAAAATGCCAACAATAAAGCAAATTTTAGAAGTAGTGAAAGTTGTCTGTAATTCTGATATTCTAATATAAATGTTCAACTCTTTTTTTTATATAAACCTCCAGTCTCTGTCCACAGTTATATACTTTTTATATGGTTCTGAGACACACATCATTTTGTGTTTCTTCTTTTGTTTTTCATTTACCATATCGAAGTTTTCCATGTTTCTCATAATCTATAAAAAAGAAGTATGTATGAGAATCAACCACTTAAATAAGCTAGTATGAAGACTAAAAGACAAAAAATTGTAAAATCAACTGTAACTACAGTAATCAGTAAAGGGATAAACATGAAGATGTAAAAGATGACATCAAAAACACAAAATGTGGGGGAGAGGAGTAAAAAAATGTAGATCTTCTAGAATGTGTTTGAACTTAAATGACTACCTGTCTAAAACAAATAGATATAAGTTAACATACATGAACTCCATGTAACCACAAATCAAAAGCCTATAATGAATACACAAAACTAGAGAGAAAGGAACAGAAACATATTACTAAAGAAAATCATCAAGCCACAGGGAAGAATCTAAAAGAAGGAAAGAACAGAGAAGAATTGCAAAAACAACTGGAAAACAAGAAACAAAATGGCAATAAGTATATACACTTATCAATAATTACTTTAAATTTCAATAGAATAAATATTCCAGTCAAAAGACATATGGTGGCTGGTTGGATACAAAAACAAGACCCATCTATATATCACTTACAAGAGACTCACTCCAGAGCTAACAATACACAGACTGACAGTGGGGAGATGGAAAAAAATATTTCAAGCAAATGGATATGGCAAGAAAGTGGGAGAAGCAATACTCATATCAGAAAAAATACACTTTAAAACAAAGTCTATAACAAAAGACAAAGAAGTATTATATAATGATAAAGGAACAGTACAAGAAGAGGCTATGACACTCGGTAACATATATGCACCCAATACAGAAGCATTTAAATATATAAAGCAATTATTAACAGACATAAAGGGAGAAACTGATAATAACACAATAATAGTAGAGGACTTTATCACCCCACTTACATCAATTGACAGATCATTCAGACAGAAAATCGGGAGATACTCAACATCACTAATTATTAGAGAAATGCAAATCAAAACCATAATGAGATACCACCTCACATTTGTCAGAATGGTTATCATCAAAAAGTCTATAAATAGCAAATGTTGGTAAGGATGTGGAGAAAAGGGGACCCTTGTACACTGTTGGTGGGAATGTAAATTGGTGCAGCCACTATGGAAAACAGTGTGGAGGTTCCTCAAAAAACTAAAAATAGAACTACTATGTGATCCAGCAATTCCACTATTTGGGTATACATCAAAGAATTTGAAAAGATTCATGAACCCCAATGTTCATAGCAGCATTATGTACAATAACTAAATTATGGAAGCAATCTAAGTGTCCATCAACAGATAAATGGATAAAGAAGAAATCGTATGTACCTATATCTATATATACAATCACTCAGCCATAAAAAAAAGAATGAAGTTCTGCCATTTGCAGCAACATGGATGAACCTAGAGGCTATTAAGCTTAGTGAAATAAGTCAGATGGAGAAAGACAAATACTTCATGTTATCACTTTATATGTGGAGTCTAAAATATAAAATAAATGAATGTATATAATAAGACAGAAACAGACTCACAGATATAGAGAACAAACTACTGGTTACTAGTGGGAAGAGGGAAGTGGGAGGGACAAGATAGGGGTATGGGACTAAGAGATACAGACTACTATAACTACTGTGCATAAAATGAATACATAACAAGGACATATCGTACA